CCACAATATTGACAGTTGCTAGTTCTCTGAAGAATTACGAACCCAGTGTGATGAATCAAGTCCCTTTATTCATTCAGCATGGAGAGAAGGCCTCAGCCTAGATGTTATCTCTATACTTCCAGAATGCTCTCCCTTATATACCTTTCAGTACTCCAACCAAAAACACATCTGGTATCCTATTAACAGTACTGCTGTAAATCGCATGTGAAGGCTTTAGGTCAGCAACATGAATGGTCCTTTGATCTGCCCCTGTGACTGTGACCAGATTCTTACCAGTCACCCCCTACCATAAAATCACTAACCCCTAAACAAACTAACACATTTACTACCCCATCTAAAACATTCATCTACCACAGGTTCTACCACATCACACCAAAGTCAGATACAGTAGATCAGATGAGAAAATCCTGCAATAGAAATAAAAATGCAGTGGGAATTTGAAAGATAAATGGTGAGCATGTTGAAGAAAATAAGGTAATTGTAAAATATTTACTAACTTGTCTCAGCACAGAACATGTTGAGCAAAATCCTCTCACTAAAAACAAATTTGTGAGAATACTCATTCATACTTTATTATTACTATTGAAAATACCCAACAAATGTCAGATTAAGATGGCAGGAGTGGACAGACAGACATGGAATTCATTCTTTGGAATAATTATTTTATCTGTCAACTTGTTTATTTATTCACTGTTTCTTGTGGGATATTTATCTGTTAAGCAATTCTTAATTATTTTAGAGCATTTAGAAATTACATCAGAAATAAATGCTTTCAAACCTTTAGTCGATGTTACAGGCAGACAGGGAATTTTATGAAAAAGGACGAGGAGAATAAGGTTTATGGAAATTGTGTGAATGTGTGGAGAATTAAATAAGAGTTACAGAGATTTGGTTTCTTAAACTAATTACCATTATTTGTACAACAATACATAAATATAAACTCCGTACAATGTCTAAGAATAATATGTTTTTACAATTGTGCAAAGTTATTTATATTGTGTCAGCTCATACTTTATGGCAATTTTTAACTGCACTTTACAGACACAGAAAAAGCTTTTCACAATGCAGTCCATGATCCACTACCACTACAACAAAGTACATTTTGAGACAGTATAACTGAGCTCGGCTTTTTTTCCCCATGTCATATTACTAACACTCACTCACTACTCCTGCTACCCCTGCAATCACCTCATTCCCCTGACCTGGTTTTCCCTACCCTTTTCCTCACTTGCATCTTATTCACTCACGACTCCCTCAGTATCGGTCCAGTTTCATTCCTTGACACTGATTCCTCTGTGTCAGGCTTTTGGGTTCTAGTCTGCCATTTATGCTGAGACTTTGCACAGAACACAAACTGCGTTAGTAGCTTCAACAGAAACTTAACATTAATAAGTAAGGTTGCTGGTATTTGCTGCAGAATCATTGAATATTTCATATTCCACCTTTTCTACATTAAAGCAATAAATGCAGTGTCAAACATAGTCAGTCTGAGTGTTTAGAAGTAAAACAATGCAAAAAACTTGAACCTGCAAGCTAAACCAACATTATCCTACCACTTTACTGGTCTGAGTGGTTGTGCTTTGCTTGTCGGCCATCTGCATAACTGCTGCTAGTTAGTTAGATGACTAAACTTGTTTTGAAGCCTTTGCATGGTTAAATTTTGAAGGAAAGTTAATGGTAAAGGTTTTGTACCATCAAGTTGTTTCCTCATTAAGCACAATCCCATAGTTATTTTTCTTTTCTGAAATCCATTCCTGGCAAATACAGATAAAAGACATGAGACCCTTTTCAGAACAGAAATTGCTGCTGCAGTGTGTGCCACACTTTTGTCACTAACTAACCCTAACCCTAAGCCTAAATTAGAATAAACTGTGCACATTTTTTTCAAATTTTAATTGAACTACTACTAACTTGTTTAAAACAAGGGCAGTACATTTCAAAGTTAATTTGTAAACATGAGTAGGATTCAATAACACATTAAAAAAATGTAAATTATGGAACACTTACAAGGGTCAGAATCAGTTTTTTCAGTGTTCATTTGGATTTGGATTGAGTTTCTTAGCTGCTTTGGTCTCCAACAACTCTTGAGAAACATATCTACCTGCGGCAAGGTTGGGCAGGTAGAAACACAAGCTAAAGCGTGTCATTTGTCGACAGACTACTTGTCAATTCAGAATCAATAATCCATAAAGATAAACTGTATTTTGTACAAACGTTACGTTTGATCTCCTTAACTCAGAGCAGATTCTGGACCTAATGATTAAGGAGGCAACTGCTGATAACCCTATAGTTAATTTGCCCTGGCCAGGAGCATTTTGATGACAACACTGATGTCCTCTGATTCTGTATAAGGATAATTGAATACTACAGTAGGACTCTTTCACAGTCTAGGTGTTTATCAGTGGGACACCAAATAAAGGCTAGTATTTTCTTGTACCTACTGCCCTTGTAATATGGTGAATAAAAATACAATAAAACATGGTGTGAAATTAGATTTTACATTCATATTTCTTTAGTTTAAACTAATCAGCTGGGCCTTTTATTTTTTACGCGTAATTTTTCTCTTTATTTTTGTCTTAATATTTTTCTCTACTTCCGCCTCATTCCGTTCGTTCCTCTTCCTGATCACAGTCATCCGGGATAAAGCCTTGATGAGATGTTTCAGCAAGCAGTTTAATCTGTGAGGGCTTTAAAAGTCCACTGAGCTGCTGTGAGCACGGAACTGTTTCATGGATTGCTAATGGTTTGATCATTCATCTTTGGTAGCATTTCTCTGGAGAGAGGTCAGAGATAATGATGTCATTGTGGAAACAACGCAGGTGATCGCCTTCAACACTGTTTCAACGTCAGTGTGTTGTTGATTAGAGAGGCTGTTAGCTATAATTAGGAGGGCACATATGGAAGCTTGAGGCTCTGCAGTGAACCACTGAACCAGAAAGATACAAAAGGATAAAATATTCTGAGCTAAATGAGGTGGAGAACAGAATGAATTACATTTTATATTGTCTTTTATATAATGACCATGAAACTTGCCAAAAAAAAGGCCTATCTAGAGCCAGTGTTTGGTTTGTCCGTTCTGGGTTACTGTAGAAACATGGACTGCCGTGTTTCTACAGTAGCGGACTCTGTAGAAGAGGGCCCACCCCCTCTGTAGATAAAAACGTTTCATTGTAAGGTAACGAAAAATACAACAATTCTCATTTTCAGTTGATTATACACTAATAAAAACATACCTATGAATATTATATTCCATTTTGGCCAGTAGATCCTCCCAGTAGATCCCCCCCAATGTTTCACACTGGACCTTTAATCCATATGTGAAATATCTATCTACAAGATGGACTGGCACAATATTCATGGAGAGAGACAAAAAGAGAGAGAGAGAGAATGTGGGACTGATAGCCTTGCCTTAAATCCTCATGCTGCCCATTTTTCCTGCTTCTAACACATCAACTTTGAGGACAAAATGTTCACTTGCTGCCTAATGTATCCAACCCAGATGACAATAACCAGATAATCAGTGTTATTCACTTCATGTTATGGCTGATTTACATTCAAACCAAGAACTCAAGTTGATATCTTTAATGAAAATTGGTCCAAATGGCTTACCAATGTGTCAACTATAAAGCCTGTTTTTGTATAGTGGTAATATAGTGGTTTATAATTGTACAATTTCAAGTTGAATTTATATAGACTATATATTATCAGCCCATCAAACTACAAAAGAAGGAATCTCGTTATGTATGTCTGGTTTCTCAACAACGGTTCATCTAAACTTCAATTCAGTTCAATTCAATTCAATTCAATTTTATTTGTATAGCGCCAATTCATAACAGAAGTTATCTCAGGACACTTTTCAAATAGAGCAGGTCTAGACCGAACTCTTTAATGGAGATAGTACTGAGGACCCAAGTACAGTGCAGAATTTAGTTTGTTTTTCTCCCAGATGGTGGCACTATAACAACAAACTTTACATCTTGGCCTGTAACTTTTGAGCCACACAGGAGTTTTTTATTTATTTTTTAATTTTTAAATACAAGAAAAAATGCAACTAATTTAGCAATTTTCACTTTCTCTGCCTAATGCCTAAAAACATTGCAAGATGCATCACAAGATCTTAAAAAAGCTGCCATAAAGTCAGGCATTTTAGGATGCAACAATCCCAATGCGACATCCTAGAGGAACAGGTAAATCTGTTTTAGATTATTCATGTGTCGGTGTGCATTCCCGAATAGTATTGGGCCTCTGTGAACCATGTGTGGAATTTTTAAAAATGTTCTTCATGGTTTATCAAGTAATCACAGTTGTATCATAGATTATCTCTATCCCTATTAATTCCAACCTATAGTAGTTAGTTATTGTAGTATGTAAATGTTAATTGTAGTACTGTTTAAGCAGTTAGTATATAAAAAGATTCAACATACTGTGATTTATTAGATATTTTCTCATATTGTATCAGCATAATATTATTTCATTGATGGTGATCCACAAACAGAAACAGAAGACTGTTCATAAACATACTATATAATTAAAAATGGACGCAGTCTCTGTGATGACACCCATAGGTTTCTGAAGAGCTATTGTGAAGCTCAGAGTGGTCAGCTCTGGTCACCGCAATCTTGCAGTCCGGACAAAAAATTTAATTTAAAAAATAAAAAATAAGTGTGATAAATCTGGTCATTGAAAAATGCATCAGAATACAAAATATATGAAAATAAAATGAAATTATTTGTATTGCCTGTGTTTTATTTTTTACTTGACAATTTTCAGGTGTTCAACAAGTGTTGTAGGCCAATGTTTCCTTTTTCACTTACTACAGAATCAGCTTTATTGGCCAAGTATGTGTACAATAGGAATCTGACTGGGTTTTTGTTGCTATGTTGTCCTAAACTATGCCTCGTGCTGTTTGGTCTCTCTCTCTCTCTCTCTCTCTCTCTCTCTCTCTCTCTCTCTCTCTCTCTCTCTCTCTCTCCCTCTGTCTCTCTCTGTCTCTCCTCCAGGTGCTGTCTCTGGGTGCTGATGTATTACCAGAGTATAAGCTGCAGACCCCCAGGATCCAGAAGTGGACCATCCTTCACTACAGTCCATTCAAAGCTGTGTGGGACTGGGTCATTCTGCTCTTAGTGATTTATACAGCCATATTTACTCCATATTCTGCTACATTTCTACTAAGGTTAGTGGAAATTCACACTGATGCTCACCTGACCTGTTTGATTATGTATGTAAGTTTGCCCTCTAAACTGCTACAGGGCTGATGAAGACCATGACACTCTTTTCCTTCCAAATTTTCCAAAGTTTATGAGCAAAATATCAGAATTTTTCATAGTCATAGCTCAAGAATTGATACTGTCAATCATGTTTAATGGGATGAACAATGAAGTGATCATGTGACATCATAATGACCTGGAAAACCACTTTTTCTCCGTTATTTAACACCATCACTCACAGAAGGGGAGATTGTGACCATATTTCACAGTTGGTCGGACACTGAATTGTTGACATTTTTGCCTCAAAGTTCAAAGGTCATTGTGACTTCAAAACAGCCATAATTTAAGAATGAACTGGGCAATCCTAGACACACACACATATGTTGACTGGGACAACACAATGAGTAAATGGTAAATGGCCTGTGCTTCTATAGCGCCTTTATAGTCTTTCGACTACTCAGTAGTACACTACATGCCACACTCACCCCATTCGCGCACATTCATACACTGATGGTAGTGGCTGCCATGCAAGGTGCCACCTTTCTGCTCACCAGAACGGAAACTAATCATTCACGCACACTCATACACCAATGCACAGCATCGGGAGCAATTTTGGGTTCCTTCCAGTTAGTGGACGACCCACTCTACCTCTGACCCACAGTAAACAGATTTTGTGTCTCTAGTGCGTGCTATAACAAATCAAGAAGTGGGTGGTTAACAGTGTACTGTTTGCTATTGTGAGTAGAAGGAAATGTTTAACATTCAGTTCAGTGAGACCAATATGCATGGGACATGAAGTGGATGGATATGTATGGTCATCAGAGAATTGATTAATTCCTGACATTTCCTGTAGTGCCATCCTCAGGAAACATGAACTTTTCTAACAGAATAGCTCTAATCTGCAGTTTAAACCTGCAATGACATGTGTCAATGCTGGGGGTAAGTTCATCAGATGATTACTTACATTAAGAAAATATTTTTTTGTGTGTTATAGGGTTTCTGAAATTGTATGTTTAAATATGCAAATGAGACATTTTCTACGTACAAACTGGCTATTTCTCATACATTTCCAGAACAGGAATTTGAACATTGGATAAAGCGAGTTTTTGACAGAGTGGGACTTCCCGACCGGGGGGTTGGAACCTCCACTAGGGGTCACCAAAGCTTCAGTAGGGGTCAAAAGGCCTTTGTAATTTTAAGGGGTGTAAGAAAACTTTAAAAATATAAAAAGTAGTATGACCTCAACACAAGCTATATTCACAGAACTTTCACTATCTGACAAATAGCCTTGTCCTGCATTAGCAAAGTACACAGTTAAAACAACAAAGAGCTATCAGAACAATAGCATCAGGCAGGATAAAACATCTCAATATTCACCAAATGTTTTTTTTAGACAAATATCCTGCAGTTATTGTTATTGTTCACTGTTCAGTTCATTGTACAGTTTTATCTTAGTGGCTCTGTACTGTTCTTATGCATTTAATATAATATGAAATATCCATAACATATGTCACTTAGTCAGTTTACTCAATGATAGAAAAGGACCCCCTTACTGAAAAATGTTGGAACTACCATGTTTTTAGGAATAAAATGTGCTAAAAATTAGGCTATGAATGATATATGAACAAACCCCTCTGTAAAAACCTTCACAATATAGATAAATAAAAAAATCAATAAAACTGGAAGGATTGGTTTATGTAACTGCTACTGAAGTGGAGATTTCTGGCTCAGAGTATAGATAAAGTGTAGTAAAATAAACACCTAAATGTATATTTTGGGTGTTTTCTTTCCACTAGTCTGAAAGAAGATGTTATGGAAGCAAAATAGCTAAAAATATCCTTAAAAATGTCTTTGCTTTGAATGTCTGTGTTGTCTTTGTCTCTGCCATGTTTTTTAGTTTTTTTTTTCACTGAATGTTTCTCAGAACAAAACCCATTAATTCATTTATTGATTTTCCTTCAGTGAGCAGGAGGAAGCAGCCATGCAAACCTGTGGTTACTCCTGTTCGCCCCTCAACGTGGTGGATCTTATAGTGGACATCATGTTCATCGTTGACATCATCATTAACTTCAGAACGACATATGTTAACTCCAATGATGAGGTGAGCTTATCTGATTGTCTAAACTGAATAACAAACTGATCTAGTAAGAGCGCCTAATTAATTAATCCATTGAATCACTGGCTCATTTAAAATATAAGAAACTCCAACGTGTGCTGTCAGCTGTGGATGCAGAAATAGCAATTATCTAGATTTAAACTGCAACCACGAAGTTCAGTTGAAGGAAAAGGAAGGAAAGTGGTTTCATTCATTCATTCCTTTCCCCCTTTTTTTTTTTTTTTTTTAAGTATTTATTTTGGCTTTTATTGCCTTTATTTGATAGGAGAGCTGAGGACAGACGGGGGGAGGGGGGCAGAGAGGGGGGGGGATGGGACTCAGCAGAGGGCTGCAGGTCGTACTTGAACCCTGGGCCGCTGCAGCAAGGACTCAGCCTTGGTACATGGGTCACCAGCTCTGCCCACTGAGCTAACCGGGTGCCTCCATTCCTTTCCCTTTTGAAAGCTATACTTTATGTAAAGTTTCAGCATTACATTTCTGTAAACACTATACCTATGTTCTAATGTTGTTGAGTTGCGTACTTACATTATCACAAATGTTTCCAACAATAATGAAAAACCTTCTCAGTAATTTGACTTAGTTTCTCAAAAAAATTATTTAGTTCTCAAAATAATTTGAAACGTTCTCAATATTTTGACTTAGTATCTGATACTTGATACTATCATTATTTTGAGATGTTAAGTCAATATTTTGAGAAAGTTTCTCATAACGATTTATAGAAACCTTTTTTCCTGTCATATTGGCAGAAATGGGCTTCCATAAATCAGTCCAAAGGCAACAGAAAGTCAGGGAAGGTCTCATTGTATTACTTATTAGTTATGTTACAAACCATTTCACTCATTAAAAAGTGATTAATAGCCTACATAAAAGTAATATGTAAAATTATTCTGAATCATACATATGGAACAGTTATTGCAGTGCAGTTATTAAAGTTATTGTGTTTTGTCTCCTCAGGTGGTGAGCCAGTCTTCTCGCATTGCAGTCCACTACTTCAAAGGGTGGTTCCTCATCGACATGGTGGCAGCCATTCCCTTTGATCTCCTCATCTACCGCTCAGGAGAGGAGGTGGTTAGGGGAGGTGGAGAAGGAGAGGTAGGGAGGAGGGAGGGAAAGAAGATCAGGGTGGAGTGAGAGATAGAGTTTTAGGTAAAAACTGGGATTGTAGGAAAACGAGGGCAAGAGAGAAAGAGGAGAAAGAACAGCTGGAGGCCAAAGAGACTCTGAAGACATATTATATTGTTTTTCACTCATTTGATTCAAGCACTTGGTCATATTGCTGCTCTCCGTCTCCTCTTCCTAACAGACCACCACACTGATTGGCTTACTGAAGACAGCTCGGTTATTGCGATTGGTTCGTGTTGCCAGGAAGTTGGATCGGTACTCAGAGTACGGTGCAGCTGTCCTCTTCCTCCTCATGTGCACCTTTGCTCTTATTGCCCACTGGCTGGCCTGCATCTGGTATATTACTCTACTTTATACTTCTGCAGTATTTGCTGACTGTATTAACTAAGATAAGATAAGATAAGATATTCCTTTATTTGTCTCACAAAGGGGAAATTCCAATGTTGCAGCAAGAGTAGGAAAATAATAAATAAACAGTAAGAATCCACAACAACAGATAACACAAATAGTAGCAGCAGCAGATGGTAAATAGACTACACTTATATAGCGCCTTTCTAGTCTTTCGACCACTTAAAGCACACTATACGTCACGTTCACCCATTTACACACACATTTATACAATGTATTTTAGGTGTTTGTCTTCTTTCCTAGGTATGCCATAGGTAATGTAGAGAGGTCAACCTCAGCTGGGATTGGCTGGTTGGACAATCTGGGCGAGCAGCTGGGGAAGCCATACAATGACTCTATCATCGAGTCGGGTCCTTCCATTAGAGATAAATATGTCACAGCTCTGTACTTCACCTTCAGTAGTCTGACCAGTGTAGGCTTCGGGAACGTCTCCCCAAACACCAACTCTGAGAAGATCTTCTCCATCTGTGTCATGCTTATTGGCGGTGAGTTCTACAAAAAAAACTGTTGGGGCTTTTGGCCATGTCAGAAAAACTTACAGAAGAGTTTTTTAGTGGTCTGTCATTTTAAATTTCGATATAGTCGAATATTACGCTCAGCTGTTGTCAAAATGGATTTATGTGGATTTTGTGAGACCATGTCACAATTAAAGAAGAAGTCAGTTTTGTTGTTTGCCAACTGAATAGAAGACAAAGAAGAAGAGATTTAGATGTTTTTTTGTGTTTTGTGTTTTATGTTCAAATTGGCAGCGATCACTAAAAACTGCTGCTAGACTGCAAGTGTATAGGCAAATTGTATTTACACAAAACAGCATTTAAACATTTACATTGCTTAGTGTAGATGTATTCTATTGTAACATTTCCTTCTTAAATCCTTCAAAAGAAAAAAGACACGGTCAGTGTTTGCCACTGACCTAACATGAGGATCAGCTCTGGTTAAGGTTCTGTTTCAAGGTCAGCTAAAAAAAAAAAAATCATGTTATGATGTGTTACAAATTATATTTAACACAACGCATAACACAGCAGATATTCTCTTTGGTGAGTGGATTGGTTTTAAATATTCCAGGGAGGAACAGTAATAATAGAAACAGCCAGACCAAATTCTGACTGCAGTGCATGTTTGCATTACACTATTGTCTTAATAAATCTGGACCTCAGACACTGTTGATGTGTGTGTACCGATCATTTTGAATGTGCACAGATAAGAGATTATATCTCACATCCAAGCCCACCCACGGAAAAGGTCCAGTGAACGGGCCCTCCTCTGGGCCACGAAGCAAAGCTTTCCCCTTTTTCTCAACCTTTTTGACGTCCCTGCTCACATCTTTTATAACATTTGTTATCATGAGCTTTTTAATGGTGCTGCAATGCCTGTTTGCTTTGTATTGTGTTCACAACCATTTCCCCAAGGGACCCTTTTCTACCATTTAGTAAACTGACAACCCCTGACTAAGTGACACATTTTATGAATATTTCATATTATATTCAAAACTGTAAAATTAACCCAAATAGTGAACTCAGTAACTGCAAGAACTTTGTGTAAAAGCAGTGATTTAAATAATAAATGGACTGTAATTATATAGCGCTTTTCTTAGTCTTTCGACCACTCAATGCGCTGTACACTACATGCCACACTCACCCATTCACACACATTCATACACTGATGGCAGTGGCTGCCATGAAAGGTGCCAACTGCTCACCAGAACGGACACTAATCATTCATACACACATTTAGGGAACATTTTGTACAATTCTCTGTCTGTATTATGTACTTTTTAAAAAACTATTTTTAACAATCATACATACTTACTAGGCTTCATTTTTGACAAATTCAGTGTTTTCTTGTCCCTGACACATGGCCATTGTTCTCTTAGCCAATTAACTTTACATTTACTTTTCTACACAGAAATTAACTACATACTGAAATATATCAGATAGGCCTACTGTGTATATTAAATAAATAAATCCAGAAGTTCTCCCAACCTCTCATGAAGTTTTTGCAACCCCTAGTGGGTGTTCTGTCCCCCAGGTTGGGAACCACTGCCTTAGACCAATAACTAAACTGTTCCTGTCCCTCCTCCAGCTCTGATGTATGCCAGTATCTTTGGTAATGTGTCAGCCATTATCCAGCGGCTATACTCTGGTACGGCACGCTACCATGCCCAGATGATGAGAGTTCGAGAGTTCATCCGCTTCCACCAGATCCCTAACCCTCTGAGACAGCGGCTGGAGGATTACTTCCAACATGCATGGTCATACACTAATGGGATAGATATGAATGCTGTGAGTATGATCTAACACTGTCAGCCATATTGGAAGTCCTCACCTCTTAACTGCACCATGGTTTTTGTGTTTAGACAGTTTATGCTTGTTTGCTAGCTAAACAGAGTAAGCTAGCATTCTGCTTAAGATTTCAAAGCTACTAAAATTATGCAATTGATTTTGGGGGAAATGGTCAAAAAGGATTCAACTGAATGAATTGTAGTTTTGTTTAGGAATATGGACTATAAGCACTATATCTATTAAGTTTGTATTTGCTTTGAAATTCACTTTGAAATCATACTTTTATAAATGAGCTTCTTAGTAGGTATCATTTTATGTGCTCAATAATAAAATATATAAATTATACTATTATTATTATTATTTTGTTGTTGTTGTTGTTGTTGTTATTATTGTTATTATTAGTATTATTATTATAAGTAGTAGTAGTAGTAGTATTGAGTACTTATCGAAATAACTTACCCAAATTATTTTTGTCAACAGTGCATATTCCTAAATGAATTTGTGTATTTAATCATATATCATCACATAACTCAACATTATAAAATAGCAGAATAACAATACAATTCACAGGGAGTGAGAGGAAAAATGCAGGGGTTAATAGGTGCCCAGCAGCTCATTTTTGTCCTATACTCCTAATCAACAAGAAGTCAAATTAGTGTTGGAGCAAGAAGATACAGTTTTAACATATATGTTTTTATCAGCTAGTTACCATATCAACTGCCACTGTAAACACTTAAACTAACTACAGTTTCAGTTTCAGAAACAGTTTCTACAGGCCATCATTCTGACCAAAAGCTAACTGCCCTGTACAATAACCCTAGGACTCTGAATGAATTATTACTTATTTTCCATCGCTGAAAATTCAGTTTCTTTGCATACTGTATATACTGTTATATCCACCTACCTCATGTACATAAAGATACCTGCACGTAAAATATTTATTTCAGCATCCTTTGCACTCTGCACCATTGCACTATTGTCTACTGTGTGGTGGAAATTCAATTCAGCCCATTCATGTGAGATGCAAGAATTAAAAGTCAGTCAGTCAGTCAGTCAGTCTTTTTCCCCGGGTGTAGCTCTGCGCAGAGCGAGCCTCTCAGCTTGACAGCATGAAAAGGTCTCTCTTCTCAGGGCTGCACCCTCATTTATTGGAGAAGCAAAACAGGAGGTACAATGTAGATAATAGCCAGATATGCTAACAAACATCATGACCTTGTATACATAGGAGATGCCTGGAGCCAGTCTCCACCGGGTTCAGCCTCTCCTCCCTCAATAACAGAGACATTGTAACCACGGGTTGACTGTTAGTCTTTATCGTGTGGGAGAATTACCAGGTGCTGAGGGCAACCTTGAAACAGATAGACATTTTTGCACACACAGTAGTTCATAAGCACGAGGTTACATATAGTGTATTAACATTTTCCATTACAACTGTCTATTCAATTCAATTCAATTCAATTTTATTTGTCTAGCGCCAATTCAGAAGTTATCTCAGGACACTTTTCAAATAGAGCAGGTCCAGACTGAAGTCCTTATAACATTTACAGAGACCCAACAGTACCACCATGAGCAAGCACTTGGCGACGGGGACAAGGAAAAACTGCCTGTTAAAAGGCAGAAACCTAGGACAGATCCTTCGGCTCTAGGTGGGTGGTCGTCTGCCTCGACCAGTCGGGGTGAAAGAGAGAGAGACAGACAGACAGACAGACAGACAGACAGACAGACAGACAGACAGTTGCACAGCAATAACAGTAGCAACAACTACACAAATAGTAGTGACTGATGATGATGAACATGAAGAAGATGATGACAACGACAACAGCAACGATGGGGGACAATGAGCAGTGACAATAGAAATAATAGTAACTGTAGTAATAATAATATTAATAATAATAATAACAATAATCTCAGTGATATTAGCAATGGCAGTCAAGCAGGACCATGGCAGGAGGCTCCACCAGGAAAGCAGAAGAGAAAGCACAAGAACTCCGGAGAAGAAGTGAAGTTATTAAACATGCATTAATGGGACATGAATGAGTGCAGAAAGAGAGAGAGAGGAAGAGAGGAGCTCAGTGCATCATGGGAAATCCCCCGATAGTCTAGGCCTATAGCAGCATAACTAAGGGATGGTTCAGGACTCACCTGATCCAGCCCTAACTATAAGCTTTATCAAAGAGGAATGTCTTAAGCCTACTCTTGAATGTGGAGAGGGTGTCTGCCTCCCGAACCACAACTGGAAGCTGGTTCCACAAGAGAGGAGCTTGGTAACAACTCTGTCTACAAATGTTTATAGATATGTATAACTTCACATTTTAGTTCATGTCTTTTTTCGTTGAACTTGTTCTGTTTATTTATACTGCTAATCTGTGTATGTACATTGAGAGCAACGTAAAACTGGAGTCAAAGTCCTTGTATGTGTACACATACCTAAAAGTGATTCTGATTCTGATTCTGGTTCTGGTTCTGATAAGGTGGTGCCATGTAATGCTAGCATGTCAGCAAGGGGGCTGAATAACGTTCCAATGTTGGCGATGGAAAAAGTGGCATGGCTATTTTCAAAGGGAACCCTTGGCCTCAAGATATCTGAATGATTGGTTCTATGTGTTCCCTTTGCAGACATGCCAACTTCATGCCAATCCCATGCAGTTTGGGCCAAAAACCATGCAGTATTTCACCTGGGGTCCATAAACTGTATTGGAACTGCATAAATTGGGAATGAATGGAAAGCTGACACACATACTTGATTCCACCCCTGCATAAGTCAATGCCCCACTTGTGCCACACCAGGCAAAAAGTCTGGAAATGCCCCTGTCCTGGAGGGACTGAAAAAGGAGTCACATCAATTGATACCTGCATGCTACTTGTAGCTAAGGTATTAAGAGTGTGTAATTTGTATAATTCTCTTCCAGGTTTTAAAAGGTTTCCCCGAATGTCTCCAGGCAGATATATGTCTCCACCTCAACAGGACACTGCTGCAGAACTGTAAGGCTTTCAAAGGTAATACTATTTTACATCACACATGAAAAATGTATGTTTTATGGACATAGTTAGATGTGACGCATTTACAGTGGTGCATATTTACTCAAGGACAACTGTGGGGTAGTACATAATTCTATTTATTTAGACTAACACGATGTATTTGTTATGGTGTCTAGGATCCACTAAGGGCTGTCTGAGGGCACTAGCCATGAGGTTTAAGACGACTCACGCTCCTCCTGGTGACACCTTAGTCCATGCTGGAGACCTGATATCAGCTCTGTACTTCATCTCCAGAGGATCCATAGAGATCCTCAAAGGAGACGTGGTGGTAGCTATACTGGGTAGGTGCTTCTAAGCGCCCTTTTGCATAAATAAATGAACACAATAAAGTTTCCTATGTTTGGATAAAGACTACATTCACATCTCCCGCAGGGAAGAATGATATCTTTGGGGAGCCCATCAACCTGTATACTCTGCCAGGAAAATCCAGTGCTGATGTCAGAGCTCTGACCTACTGTGATCTACACAAGATATACAGGGAGGATATGCTGGAGGTACCACGTGGTTTAGTGGTGGGGAAGTGAACGATGTTATTGAGTGGTATATATTGTATTGACTGTGCTGATTTCCTGTTATTTGTGTTTGCAGGTTCTGGACATGTACCCTGAATTTTGTGAAAATTTTTGGTCCAACTTGGAGATTACCTTCAATCTCAGAGATGTATGGTACTCATGTTACAGCTCTATTTATTGAAACCAGGTAGAAACTATGACTTGTGAAAACTACACTGGAGATATCTTGAGGTTTAGTTTTGACAAGTAATAATTTACAATACAATGTAAAGGCAAGTAATTTATAGGAAAATGGGCACTCAGTCTCTCCTGGAAGACATTCATATACTGTGTTCCAAATTATTATGCATATACTGTTTTTGTTCTTTTTCTTACTAAATAGTCGATATAATTGGCAGTCAATAGGATTTTATATTCCTCAACAATTATATTGTAATCTGGACACAATTAAACACCAAAAAGCAATGATGACTGTCATTTTTTGCAAAATAACTCAAAATGCAGTGTTCCAAATTATTATGCAAAACAGAGTTTCCCAACACTACTTTCTAAAGGATTAAAAACCGAAATCTGTTGTATTTTTTGCATTAGAGGGGATCATTTTTCTAAAATCAAACCTACTTAAATCAAAAACATATTTAAAGATCGAGATACATATTAACATAGGAGCATGGACCGCGGAACACATCTGAACAAGGGGGGGCCATAATTTCAAATCACGCGGGGGGGCATATGCATTGAAACAATATTACTGATGTATTAAATAACGTTGCGGAGCACTTTTTTTTATCCCGACACCACACAGTCACATCTACAGTACATGCATGATGAACACGCACACATGCTTGCTCAGATTAACCCCTCTGATCCCACAAACATGAACACAAACATGAACATTCACACACAACAGGCCAAGCCTATTTCAGCACTCGCTTGTACAGTGGCTCTCCGTAGCTTGGCTTGAAGCCGGAGGAGAGCAGCTAGCCACGGCTTGGCAGGTCGTCGGAGTCCGTGGTGGAGATGGACGCTCCGGGTCTGTTGTTGAGGCCACAGTGGAAGCTGGAGTAGTTTTCTCATTTTGTTTTGCCTGTTTACTTGTAAAAAATCGGATATTGACTTCTGTCTCTTCATTTTCTCAGGTAATGCAACCAGCGGTTTGGCAGGTGCCCGCCGTTAGCTTGCGACGACGCTCACACATGACGTAGTTGATAAACAATGCACACTAATTTCAAATCAAAATGCAGCAGTCAGTGGGAGTTTTTTATCAGCAGCAGTTGGTGAGAGTGAGTGAAGGTGTGTGGTGACTAGTATTGTTTGGCTCGTAAAAACACAGATACAACTTAGGCTTTTATTCATATAAAATAGTTTTTCAGAGTACAAAAGTTACCCGGGCCGTGGCCCCCCTGGCCCCCCCGGTTCCGCGGTCTATGCATAGGAGCCCTTCTTTGATATCACATTAACAACTCTCTCATCCATTGAACATGTAAGTCCATGTACAGTTTCTGCCTGTATTTCCTTTGAGGATGCCAGAATTGCCTTCCAGAGCTGCTGTTTTGAGGTAAACTGCCACCCACCCTCATAGAGCTTCCTTTTAAGGATCCACAGGTTCTCAATAGGGTTGAGGTCAGGAGATGATGGTGGCCACACCGTGATTTTTTCTCCCTTAATGCCCATAGCAGCAGCTCAATGGTATTTGTTGCAGCATGGGATGGTGCGTTGTCTTACATGAAAATGATTTTACTCCGGAAGGCACGGTTCTTCTTTTTATACCACGGCAGGAAATGGGCAGTTAGGAACTCCACATATTTTGCAGAGGTCATTTGACACTTGACACCTTCAGGCACCTTAAAGGGGCCTACACTTCCCATGATTCCAGCTCAAAACATCCCTCCACCACCTCCTTGCTGACGTTGCAGCCTTGTTGGGACATGGTGGCCATCCAGAACTCCATCCATGTGGACCATCCAGTGTAGCATGGCATACATCAGTGAATAAAACTTTTAGTCTTCATGTATTTTTGAGCCCACTGCAATCATGTCTCCTTGTAGGCATTGTTTAAGGGTGGCCGAAATACAGCTTTATGCACATCAGCAAGCCTCTGGAGGATCCTGCGTCGAGACGATATTGGGACTTCAGAGGCACCAGCAGCTTCAAATACCTGTTTGCTACTCATCAGTGGCTTTTTCACAGCTGCTCACTTAATACGATGAATTAGCCTTACAGAAACTTTCCTTAACACGCCTTTATCTGAACGAAGCGTCTGCGCTCTGAATCAGACACAAATCTTTTCATAGGATGATGATCTCCCTTAATATTTCGTAAAATGGTGTGGTTTCATACCTATTGAAAGATACTGCACTATTTCACGCTTTTCATCTGCAGAAAGATATTTTTTTCCCCTATATTGCATGAAACCTGTGACTTGCTTAATAATGTGGAACAACATCCTTAAGTAGTTTCCCATTAATTAGGCTCACCTGGCAAACTAATAAAGACAAACCTGTCTGAGATTGATGTCAGTGATCTAAACATGGGAAGCAGCACAATTGAAAACGGGCGGCAGTGGCTCAGAGGCAGAGCGGGTCGTCCCTTAATCGGAAGGTTGTGGGTTCGATCTCCTGGTGTCACATGTCGAATTGCTCTCGATGCAGAGCATCGGTGTGTGTGAATGTATATGAATGTTAGTTTCTATTCGATGGACTTTGCCATAACTGAGTGAATGTGTGTGAAAGGGTGAATGTCTCACATAGTGTAAAAGCGCTTTGAGTGGTCGGAAGACTAGAAAGGCGCCGAACAGGTCCATTTGCCATTTACCAAAACTTTAATTAAAAAACAAAAGTTTTTTAGTTGAAATCATATTTGCATAATAATTTGGAACACAGCTTCGTTGTACATGTGAATAGTTGTGTTAGGAATAAAATTTAAATTTAAAAATTTAATAAAAAGAGTTTGTGAGAGAAGTTCAAACCCTGTTATCTTTCTCACCTTCTTAAGTGTAAACATATCAGGATGTCACCCATCAGCGCATTACCGTTTTGAAGGCTTGGAAAAGGCATCTCGATTCATATTTGATTTGCTCTGCCTAGTTTGACAGTTTGATCTGAGTTTGGTGTGTTGAGCTGGACGGACTCACTGAGAATGGCTAGTCAATCACAACTAACTTGCAACTAATGGTAAATGGTAAATGGACTGTACTTATATAGCGCCTTTCTAGTCTTTCGACCACTCAATGCGCTGTACACTATATGCCACATTCAACCCATTCGCGCACATTCATATACTGATGGCAGTGGCTGCCATGCAAGGTGTCAACCCAACGGAAACTTAGCATTCACACACAGTTATACACCGATGCACAGCATTGGGAGAAATTTGTGGTTCTTGCTCAAGGACACTTTGACGACAACATGCAGCGAGAGGAGCCGGGGACCGAATTAGTGGACGGTTAGTGGACGATTAGTGGACGACCTGCTCTATCTCTGAGCCACAGCTGCCCCAATGGAGCTGCCCCCTGCTGCCCATTAGAAAGAATGCAAGTTTAAGCATTGGCTTTACTTTACAGATCCAGAAGGTTTGTCCATTATATATATTGTCAATGCTACAAAGAAAGAATGGTAAGAGAAAGGTGTCATGGAGGGAATTTCTAAAGCCTTTAAACTGTTTGACAAGCAGTTCTGATGCCCAGTTTTTTTTAAACATTTAAAATTTGTGCATAATAAAACTGAATGTATATACTCTGTCACACTGTACATCCCTGAAGGACCACTATTTTTCACAAACTCTCCCTCCCTGTCTGCAGGTGAACAATGAAGCTGTAGGTCTTCTAAATGGAGAAGACTCTGATTGTGAGGGATTCAGCAGACCACAGAGGAAACACAAGCTCTCTTCCACTCATACAGGTAACATCACAGACACAAACAGCTTATATGGACAGATAGATCACAGAGATGACTTGCCACTCAACACTTGGGGGAGGGAACAAGACTTTTTTTTTTTTAAATATTGAGGGAATTCAGTACTCAGAAGTCTTGTATGCAATAGGTTGATAACAGTAAGGAGTTAAGTTCTGTAAATTGACCCATAAAAGAACATTTTTATTCATCATTGTTTTTATTCATCAGCACCAAGTAGCCTCTGTGAAAGTCTTCAGGTGTAAAGATATATTCAAGGCACATGAGATAAATCAGACAGCAAAAAAACCTTGTGTAACAATACCACCCCGTGCTATATGTGTCTTACTGTGTGTCTGTATGTGAACCAGATGCATTCTCAGGAGTGTCCAACATCTTTAGTTTCTGGGGCTCAGAGACTCGAGAGAAGCAGATATACCAGGAGGTACCCTGCTCCCACGGCCTCCCCTCACCTCCTCCTCAGCCTGCCTCCCAACAGCTACCTGATCCCCTCTCCTCGTGCCACCCTCCCTCCTGTCCTTCTCTAAACATTATCTCTCGGAGGCAGAAGGTGAAACTCGAGAACAAGCTGGAAGCACTGCAGCGACAGATAACCAGGTGGGTCACAGGGCTTGATCAGGATCTTCATCAGTAGTGGTGATGACTTTGCATATAGCATTATATTGCATATATATATATATATATATATATATATATATATATATATAACTATATATATATATAGTTATATATATATTTATATTTTGTTAATATATGTTGTTTGTATATCTGGAGTTTGTAACAAAAATAATTTCCCCCTGGGATTATTAAAGTATTTCTGATTCTGATTCTGATTATTTTGCTAGCAATAATGTTAGCGTGCAGGCACGTTAAGGTTAGCCAGCAGCAGTGTGACCTGGTGGTCATAATGTTATGGCTGATCGGTGTCAAACACCACAATACCAGCGAAGTAGTTGCGTAAAACTTTGGGTGCAGATGGTGGGTGCACTTCCACAGTGCTTAGCTATCTATATTCAGTCCATCTAGGATTTTGCAGGCTTAAATGACTGATATCATGGAAATTTTTAAAAAAATTGCAGTGCATTCTTTTTTTTTGTTTGCAAGGAAATTATTAGAGAAAGTAAAAATTGCAATATAAAATATTAACTATTATAAATAGTTTGGGGTTTTTTTTTTTTTAAAAGCAACTTGTCCCAGTGAGAATAAAATCAATAGTATTTTGGTCACATATGGCTCAACATTTTATACATGGTACTATGATTGATCAAACTCACTGGAAATTATTTTATTTATTATGTTTGGTCAAATTCCATATACTTTAATAATCCCAGGGGGAAATTATTTTTGTTACAAACTCCACATATACAAACAACATATATTAAGAACAAAATATAAATATATATATAACTATATATATATAAAAGATACAAACTCCAGATATTATACATATATATATATGTATAAATATATGTATAAATATATATTTATATATATATATATATATATATATATATAGAAGATCAAATGTACAGTTTAATAATGTGCAAGAAGTGCAAAAAATGATTGTCCGTGTTTGAGTCAGATTACGGGGGGGCAGGGGATATCTGACTCTCTGAGGGAGGCGTTGTATAGTTTAATGACCACAGGCAGGAATGATTTCCTGTGGCGCTCTGTGGTGCATCTGGGTGAGAGGAGTCTTCTGCTGAAGGTGCTCCTCTGCTGGGCCAGTGAGTCGTAGAGAGGGTGTGAGACATTGTCCAAGATGGACTGAAGCCTGGACAGCATCCTCCTCTCTGCCACGGTCGTCAGGGTGTCCAGCTCCTCCCCCACGACATCACCGGCCCTCTTGATCAGTTTATTTAGTCTGTTAGTGTCTGCGACCCTCAGCCCACTGCCCCAGCATGTGACAGTGAAGAAGATCACACTGGCCACAACAGACTCATAAAAACATCCTCAGCATCGTCAGAAGTCAAAAGAACATGACTCTCACAGTGCTCGCCGGCTTGTCCAGATTAGTGTAGACTCAGCAGCAGAGTCTTGTGGGGGAGGGGCCGCAGTATCAAACCTATTGAAAAATAGGTTCAGTTCATTGGCCTGGTCCACATGGCCCTCCAACCCCATGCTACCAGTCTTCTGGAACCCGGTGATGGTTCTCATGCCACTCCAAACATCCCTCATGTTGTTTCGCTGGAGTTTATTCTCCAGCTTTCTCCTGTAATTGTCTTTAGCCTCCCTGATTTTGAGTTTGAGTACCCCCTGTACTCTTCTCACCTCCTCACGGTTGCCATCTCTGAACGCCCTCGTCTTGTCATTCAGGATGGCCTTAATGTCCTTAGTGATGCACTCTGTGAGCCCATCAATGTCTTCCCCGTGGGGCTCACAGAGTGCAGGCCAGTCGGTTACTTCAAAGCAGCCCTGCAGTGCCTCATAGGCCTCCTCTGACCACCTCTTCACAGTCCTTGTGGTCGTAGGCTTCCTCTTCACCAGAGGCACATAGCAGGGTTTGAGGTGAACCAGGTTGTGATCTGACCTGCCCAGAGGGGGGAGAGAAGAGGAGATGTATGCATCCTTAATGTTAGCATACATCAGATCCAGGGTCCTCTCCTCTCTGGTAGGACAGCTCACATACTGTTTTCAAAGTCGGCAGGACTCTATCCAAGGTGACGTGATTAAAGTCTCCCGACATGATGATGAGGGCACTGGGGTGTTGAGTCTGTTGTTTGGAGATGATGGTGTGTATGGTGCTGCAGGCAGATGTTGGGTTTGCAGAGGGAGGGATGTACAGGACAACGATGATGACATGCGGGATCTCTCTAGGCAGATGGTATGGACGGAGTCCAACAGCCAGCAGTTCGACATCCGGGCTACAGAGCTGTTCTTTAATGGTGATGTGACCAGGATTACACCATCTGTTGTTCACTATAACGGCAAGCCCCCCTCCTTTCCGCTTACCGCTCTCGTTACAGCTCTCGTTAATAGTGTTAGTGTTAATGTAAATGTTTTGTTTTACAGCATTCAGTCTATTGTATGTCATGTCACTGTTTTGGCTGATGCCTGTGATTGTGCAAGCCCTGCGATTACCTTAACAACGCTAGCTACTGCAGAACTGTCTCTTTCTGACACCAGTTAGGTTCCGCCCACAAAATATTTCATTGCTGTTTACAAACACAAGAAAGGTCTATTGTGTAGACACAGTCTGGCATGTCTCCTGTACTTAACTCATTATGTTGTGTGTTTTCCAGCTTGGAGTCTCGTATGTCAGCAGACATTGGGACCATCATGCAGCTGCTGCAGAGGCAGATACCAATGATTCCACCTTCCTACAGCACCCTGACATCAACACCTAATGCACCTTCCTCCGCCATCCTGTCCCCCAATGCTGCTTCCCCCACACACAACTCACCAACCACCAACGCCCAGCAGCCACAGTCCAATGAAAACCAAGATTCCCTTCAACTCCCGTGATTGTAGTTCCTCTGTCCTCCATCTTACTGCCTCACCCCCTCTCATCCCTGCCTCACCCATTCACACTTCCATAGCAGGATCTGGTCACAGATTGTGAGGACCAGTCCTCCAAACTCAGCAAACACCTCCTATAGCCAACACCTTCACAACACAGTCCCTGTCCTCCCACCATCAGTCAGTGAGTGGAATCAACCAATCAGACAACAGCCAGCTGAACCTCTCACCTGCTCATTCCAGTACAAAAGCAGCATCTAGCCAATCAGAACAGCATGTGAGCTCTAGGAGATCCAGCGTCAACAGCAACTACCTGACTCTGCAATATGGTTCAAACCTAGTAAGTTAGCAGGGTTGAAGGGATTTGGTATGTCACTACAATGCAAAGAGTCAACACTCAACTCAACCAGTCCACACACTGATCACAATAACTGACCAAAACACAAGTTCATGGATCAAACCCACTTTTTTAAATCACTGCCATTTCTTCAGGTTTGTGTATTAGATATTTTGAGATTGAACAAAGTAAGTTATTCTCCTTACCCATCAATTCCTGAACTTTGTTTTGTACATATAACATTTTATTAACAATGGACAAACTCATTTATCCCCCATTTTCAATTCAATCCAGTGCAATAAAAGTTGTTTTTCATACTTACAGGTCTAATAAACAGGACGGCTGTGGTGCAGAGGCAGAGCGGGTCGTCCCCTAATCGGAAGGTTGCTGGTTCAATCCCCAGCTCCTGGTGCCACATGTCGAAGTATCCTTGAGCAAGATATTGAACCCCAGATTGCGCCTGATGCTGTGTGTGTTCAATGTGTGAAAGGGTGAATGTGGCACGTAGTGTAAAAGTGGTGTGAGTGGTCGGAAGTCTAGAAAAGCGCTATACAAATACAGGTCCATTTACCACTTGTACATCTCAGCAGCTGACTCACAAATCTCCAAACAGGTATGTGTGTCACATCTGTGAAGGCATAGTGTAGACTAAATGTGTAATATAATGAAGGAACCTGAAAATGGAAAAACAGCAATACCAAACAAATACTGTAGCTATGGTGTGTATCCATTGAGTATTGTTATTAAAAAACTTGTATCAGTATGGTTTATTTGTTTCCAAATGTCTTTCATTACACAGTATAAATAAGTCAGTGAAAAGCCTTGAATGAACATAACAGATGCTGTATGTCTTAAGTGTAGTAATAGCAGTCACAGACGTGGGAGCCACATGCATCAATGAGCCTTGACCCTGTCTCCGGTTCACCGCTTCTTTTTCCTTGACCACTTTTGATAGTAGGTAATAGGTACTGACCACTGCAGACTGGGAACACCCCATCTGTCGTCTAACCATCACAATTTGGCCCTTGTCAAAGTCGCTCAAATCCTCACGCTGCCCATTTTTCCTGCTTCTAACACATCATCTTTGAGTTCACTTGCTGTCTAATATATCCCACCGACAGGAGCCGTGATAACCAGATAATCCGTGTTATTAGTTTGCAATTTAATTTTGTCAGTGCTCACAGTGTTATGGCTGATATATGTGCACACTAGAAGGATGTTTTCACTTTCATCTGCTGTGTGATTATAAGGGGCAGGGCCTACCAGCATGTGACATCACACATAGTTTTGAAGTCATACCTGGTTCAGTATGCAACTTGTACAGTGTGGTGTAGAAACTTGAAGGCCATTAGTACAACTTTTGAACCACTAATCAGTGGTATCAACATGTTAACTTTGATGCAGTCAATGACCCGCTCAAATGTGCTTTATAGTTTTTCTTCAAACGTGGATGCAGAACTATAAACACTGATTGAGGACCTGGGCACAAATATTTTGTTTGACATAGCTGGACACTATGGTTTCCCACAGAACATGCTGAGATGTTTGGACTGGAATTTTTTTCTCTGATTTCCGTTACATCGCAAAATAAAGGAATGTTATCTTTTAACACTGAACTGTACTAACCATTCAAACCATGTTGAGAATTATGTAAAATAAACCTCATTCATATAGTTGATCCATCTGAGTGGTGGCTTTTGTATACCGTCTGCCAGTCTTATCCAGAGCAACATCTACAATAAAAAATAACCCAAGTATTTAATGTGCTGCTAAATAACAGCTCTCGTGATCATCACAATCACTTTATTAACATGTATATTATCCATGTGGGGAAACAGAGATAGAGATTGGGATAAAGTTATTGATTGCTATTGATGCATAGGAATATTTATATATTTTATTATTTTTTCTTTTGGGGTCATGCCATCCCCGATGGAAAAACTTTATCAAACATATCAAACATGAAGAGTATAACAAATAACAATAATAACAAAGTCATATCATTCGCCTATTTATGTATTTGTTTACATATTTTATTTGTACCTATACATAAAGAAATGTTATTCAAAGTTCTAACAAAAAGTTCCCATTAGAAACATTACAAATGTGATGTATATGAAATACAAATTGTTTTAAGTTACTCTAAGTTACTTTATCTTGAGACAGCAGGGGTTCATTTTGATGGGCGGTTGTGGCTCAGAGGCAGTCGTTCCTTAATCGGAAGGTTGTGGGTTCGATCCCCGGCTACATGTCGAAGTATCCTTGAGCAAGGTACTAAAACCCGAATTGCTCCTGATGCTGTGCATTAGTGTATGAATGTCAGTTTCTGTTTGATAGACTTTGCCATCACTGTGTGAATGTGTGTGAAAGGGTGAATGTGGCACATAGTGTAAAGGCGCTTTGAGTGGTTGGAAGACTAGAAAGGTGCTATACAAGTACAGGTCCATTTACCATTTACCATCTTCTCTCACCAAGTTATGCTTGTTTTGACAAGGCGATTAGATTAATAGATCTACTATTCCTCCCGGAGACTCTTATTTCTACATTAGAAATATTAAAAACTACATGAATTTGAAGACAACACGTTTTGATTAGTAGTAACCCATCAGCCTAATATTTTTTGTGCACATTTATGACTGTGTGCTTAAGGATGGTGGAATAACCTACTAAACCTGTTTTATACTGACTGCTGACTCCTCAGTCCAGGTAACCGGTCAAGAGGGGTTCCGCAAGTCATTTACAACCGCTAGGCTAAAAACCATAGACTGTATAATTATAAATGTATGTAGTCTCTGAAGTCACCCATAGGTTTCTGAAGGGAGGGGGCAGAGGAGCAAAACTCTATTAGCCCTCTAGGCTCTATAGTTAGAGAATAAGGTAAGTCTCCAGTTATTCCATTGTGCCACACACATGCACACACAGCCTCTGACTAGTCGACAAGTCAGGAACTCAGCCTCTGAGTGGTTGTGACTCAACCCAAAGCTAACAACCATGCTAACAACCATGCTAACATCAAAAACAATTTATTCAATACATAAAAAGGATATATAATCACATAAAACATTCACTGTTATTTGATTTGACAAACTATAACTGCTGAGTATGTGAAATGCATTTTATTTGCAATTGAATATTTGTGGAATTTTGTGGCAAGGTGCAATGTTTTCAATGCTTGATTTTGATGTAATCCAAAAGTATTCAGATTAGACACTAAGGCAACAATATGAAATTACTACATGTTTGAAAACTGATGACAATACTTACAGCTAAACGGACTGTGGTTTACATCCTGAAAGTCAGAAAGTGACTCATTTTTGTTAATGAAGTTACAATTTATTAACATTATTTATAATATTGACATTAAACATCTGGAAATCCATTTGGGTAATGATTTTGGTTGCTAAGTCCTCCATGGATGTTCCACCCTGGTAGAGTACGTACCAACAGTATTCACACGGTTTGCAGTGAGTCCTTCAGCTCTCATCAGGTCTGTTCATGTTGTCTGTGTCGAACGTGAAGGGCTTATCGTAGCCCATCAGGTGGTTGTAGTCGTGCGGGAAGGGGAACAGATCCGGGTTTACCAGCAGCCCCATACGGTCTGCGGTAAAGGTGCTGAACATCTTGCTAACAGCTGGGATCTTGACCTGCCTCTGATGGAACACGCTCTTTTTTTCAGTGAGGAAGACGCTGTATGTGATTGCAGTGTAGGTGTCTGTGTCAGGGTTGTGGTACAGGCGGATCACGTAGCCTCTGGTGAAGAGGTGGAGGAGGACAGGGGTGACAATGGTGAAGAAGCCAATGACTCCGCAGAAAGCGACCTGCAGGGCCAAGCTCTCAACTCCTAGTCCGGTCTTCAGGAGGATCTGGGGCATGAGGAAGAGGCTAGTCCCGCTGGTGCTGTAGGAGAACAGCTTTACCCCTGACAAAAGAGAGGTTTCAGAGGTCACAGGTTACCAAATCGGTGTATGGCGGTATCTAGGTCCTGCACATACACCTGGCTGACTTAATGATGAGCAGGGCTCAGCTGTCAATTATGTAATTGAACCCCCTTTTTATAGATTCAAATAACTGATTAAAACCAAACTGGTCAGAAATATTAACAATTGAACATATATCTGCATGATATGAATTACTTAAAATACCAGAAACCATCTTTGGGAAAAATGTGTTTGACATGTACTTTGATTTTTCAGTTTGGCCCACATCCCATGTGCTAAAATGGAGGTGGCGGAGTTTATGTTTTTTACTTGATTGAGATGTTTTGGGTTTACATTACATAATGTCATATACAATAGCCTTTACCTGGTGTTATGCTGGAAAAACTAGTAATCACAGTAATATACTTTCATCAGTTGTTTTCTTTGATATGTAAAAAGGTGACAGTAACTCACCTCGAACAGCTCTGCCCAAGCTGCCGGTGTAAATGAGGTTCCCATCCTCAGAGCTGGCTTCCGTTAAGAGAGAACGGGCGGACAGACAGTGAGACTGCACCTATTCAAAGACACAGCAGAAAAACACAAAATGAAAGCTGGCATTGGCAGGGTTTAGTTACTCTGTTCGCCTTAAGGACACTTCGATGGAAAAAGGCACGTGTCAGTTCTGAAATCCAGAGCCCGCTAACCACAAAACAGTGACAGTAAGTAATGTTCTGCCATAAAGTCTACAGAATAATAATAATACCTATAACTTTTTTTGAAAGGATCATACAGGCGTTACTCCAATTACATGTTTTAATACTGATGTCTATAGGTAAATGGATCTGTACTTGTATAGCGCCTTTCTAGTCTTCCGACCACTCAAAGCGCTTTTACACTATGTGCCACATTCACCCTTTCACACAGTGATGGCAAAGCCCATCATACACATTCACACACAGTGAGCAATTTGGGGTTCAGTATCTTGCTCAAGGATACTTTGACATGTGCCTCCAGGAGCCGGGGATTGAACCAACAACCTTCAGATTAGTGGACGACCCTCTCTGCCTCTGAGCCACAGCCTCTGTGTTTCTCCGTGTTTCAAGTCAAATACTTTTTCAGACCATTATGAATGAAATTCAAACAATTTAAACTAATGATATGTGATAATGACACTATAATAGAATGCATAATGCAAATTGAATTATAACTGACAAAAACCTAATATTTTATACACGTTGTTGTTTCTATTCCAACAAAAGCACATAGCATGGAAAATAATTTATTGAGATTTCCCAGAACAGGTTACTCAGGAATCAGGAGTAAAATGTTTCCCATGTATAAAGAACAGCCTTTGTTCTTTGTTTTGGGAGCTAGGTCAAACTGAAAATGAGGTTCACTTTTTGTTTTGCGGCCTACAAGCACATAAGGGATGTAGCTCACGTTATATTTGCGTAAAAAGTCCTCTATTTATGATGATTGATTTTGGCTGGATGATTATGGAAAAACTGGAATTGTGCTTCAGGAACAGAGTCTTTAAGAGCTTGGGAGAGGAGGCAGAGACGAGCTGTAACATCATCTGTAATTTCGTAATGAACTGAAAGGTTTGACCAATGTCAATATATTTATAACATCAAATGAATGAATGGCTATTTATATACAACACATGCTCACAGAATATCTGCTTATTTTGCTGAACTCCGAGTGACACTCGTATATAACGTTAGGTCTAAAAAAAAAAAACTCTTGGTGAGCTACTCTGAGATCTCGCACAGTCCTGCAGGCATTAACAGTCGATTGCAGACAGCGTGACCTTAGCGGCTACTGCTAAGTGCTCATCTCTACAACCTTTGCTTACATGGGTCATGTAACGTTAAATATGTCCAGTAAAGTATTAACTCCCTAACTACACTATGTAGGTCATCTGATGATGATGATAATGAAAACAAAATATCAGTCCTAGGTTAAATACCTTGTTGTTTGACGGTAGCTTGAGGGACGACCTTCTGACAGCATGTACCGTTAGCTGCTGTTGGCTAACCGCTCTGAAACCACACACGGTAAACGGCCCACCGTGTCGCACGGCCCTCACGTCAATGTTACTGAATGGCTGAGAAACAATACAGGGTCGTAATCTACGCAGGACATTTGTATAAGACATAGTTTTATTTTCTTAGCGACCGTGGCTGATTCATTTGCACAAGCATGAAGTACTTCCGCTTCTTCGTCTCCTTATTTGAGTTTTAATAATGGCGGTTAAGGAAACCAGCTAGGTGCATTACCGCCACCTAACGTTACACACCGGAAGAATGAAAAATAATAAAATACATATATACATATACATATATATTATTTTTATAATAATATAATATTATAGAAGAATATTATAATATTATAATAATATTATTATACTATTATAATATTACATA